TTTTAGAAAATAGTTTCAAAGGTTTATTTCAAAGCTCCCGGGTGAGGCTCACGGGTGCCTGAATTGGGGCCAGAGAAGTGGAGCTGCCCGGGAGGGAGAGGAAGGGTACTGGTCTGAGGTAGGGGCAGTTTGGGGAATTTTCCACTGCAGTTTGGCTGTTCTGCAAGGTGGACAGTTAGAACTCAGTAACAATGTAACAATACTATCGGAATTGCCATCCAGCTACATCAGGACTTCAAAAGCCATCGCCAGGAGTTGTTGGGCACCATTGAACACTGTCACCAGGGTATTGCTCCACTTGCCTGCCCCACCATTTCCCGTTTCTGCCTAACATTCTTGTCTTTTTGGTGATAATGGGTGTTGTAGTCTGTCTGTCTGCTCCCTGCTGGTAGGAGGTGCTGTGGAGCTTAAACACTGGAGTGGGCAGAAGGAGGGCTGGTGGGCAAGTGGGTGTGCGAGTGGAGAAGAAGCTGGTTCACTGTGACCCTGGATGCGCCGCTGGATGCGCCGCTGGATACATCTGAGAAAGCATGTGGCTTGATTGCTACCCTAGCTCGGCGAGGGTGATGGGGTCATCAAGTCCAGGCTCCATCAGTCTTCAGCAGCTAGGCCCAGTAGCGTCAACAGCAGGTCAGGGCTTGGAGGGACTGGCTTTCCACGGCTGGGCGCTGAAGGACAGTCACTTCTCCAGTGGCCCTGTTGACCGCATGCCAGACAAGGCTTGTTGGGTGGACGAGGCCATGGGCAGTGATTGGCCAGGGACCTTGCTGGCCACACTTGAAGCAGGCCCCTGGAGGTGGTCTGGAACTGCTGTTCCCAGGGCCTGGGAAGGGTGCCGATGTCTTCTGGGTTGCCGAGGGCCTCAGGGCTCCCCCCACAGGGTTTTCATTGGCTGATTTTCAGAAGCAGGCTGCCAAGTCTTTCTTCCTAGTCTGTCTTAGTGTGGAAACTCCACTGAAACCAGTTCACCATCATAAACCTTAAAAAACAAACCACCACCACCAACAACAAAACTCACTGCCATCGAGTTACTGCTGACCTGTAGGGACACTGCAGGTCAGGGTAGGACTGCCCCTGTGGGTTTCTGAGACTGTAACTCTTTATGGGAATAGAAAGCCCCTCTTTCTCCCATGGAGTGGTTGGTGGTTTTGAACTGCTGACCTCACAGTTAGCAGCCCAAAGCATAACCCCTATGCCACCAGGGCTCCTTACACTCCTGCACACAAGGTTAATGTCTGGGACTTGAACGTAGGTCTCCTGCAAGGCAGGCATGAACACCCCCGCTGTGCCGCCAATGTTCTTTGTAGCTACCTTGAATCACCACTCTCAGCAGAGAGTGGGCTGTGATCTAGCATCAGGCATTAACTTCATATGAAAACACTGCACAATCCATGCACAGGGAAGCAGCAGTCAAGATCTCAAAGGACACGTGGCATGGGTAAACCTGCTGCACAAGACCTCTTTAAAGCGCTGCGGAGCAAGGGTGTTACTTTGAGGACCTGACCCAAGCCGTGGTCTTTCAATCACCTCACGTGCATGTGAAAGTTCGACGTTGAGTAAAGAAGACTGGCGAAGAGTGGATGCGTTGGGGTGATGTGTTAGAGAAGCACACTGAAGCACCTGGACTGACCAAATGACAAACCAACCTGTCTCAGAAGGACAGCCGGACTGCTCCTTAGAGGCAAGGATGGAATGACTGTCACCAGTCCCTGGAGAAGGACTCCCTACTTGGTAAAGTGGATGGTCAGCAGAAAAGAGGAAGCCCCTCAAGGAGATGGATTGACACGGTGACTGCAACAATGGGCTCGAATAGAAGCACGAGGGTGAGGGCGGCAGCGTTTCGTGCTGTTGTGCAGGGGGGTCGCTAGGAGTCAGAACCAACTCGATGGCATCTAACAAGAGTCAAAGCCTCCCTTCCATGACTAGACGTGTGCCCGGCACAGAATCATCGCTCCCGAGTCACTATTTCATGGCGCAGACTAGGCACCTACTCCAGGATTGGGATTAAAGAGGTAAATCGGACCTGGAGGTCACAGTCGAATTAGAGAGACAGACACAAGCAGGTCACAGAGTGGTCCCACCCGAATGTGGCACCCAGAAGCCTTTGCATGATGAGGTGTCCACATCCATTATGCCTAAATGTTGAGCCGAGTTGCCATCAATCAAGGGAAACCAGGCTCTCTCCTCTGATCCGGACCAATATACCTTCAAAATGACCTAGAAGGCCAAGTTCAATTTCAAACATTTTGGGAGTCCTAAAAATTACAGGAGAAGCCCTGGTGCCCTAGGGGCTACCCAGTGGCCCGCTCACTGCAAGGTCGGCAGCTGGAGTCCCACAGCTGGAAACCCCACAGCTGGACCCCCCAGCCACTGTGCAGGAGAAAGACGGGACTTTTACCCCCAGCAAGAGTTAGAGCCTCTAGCAATTGTACAATTCTGCTTGACATGATTGAACGATGGATGGATACGATCTATTTCTTAAATCCCAGTTAACAAGAATAATAAAAGACTTACAGTCTCAGAAACTCACAGGGGCAGTTCTAGCCCATCCTACAGGGTTGCTGTGAGTCGGCAGGGAGTTTGGTCTGGTTTTTGCATAAGTTACAGACTAGAATGCGGGGCACAGAGAGCCAGTCTTCTAATCTCCATTCTTCTATTCTCACTAATTCTATCAGGCAGAGTCGGGGCACTTGCAGGGGTGCCCAGGGACACCCCAGCCTGCCTGAGCAGCTCTTTCCATACCCCTCTGCCAACAGTCATCCCTTGGCTACCTCCCAGGCTGGGGGTGGGGGTCACACCCTGGCAGTTCAGTCTGCCCTACGGAGGACCCAGGGGCAAGGTCATAGGGGTCTTGGCAGTGAACTCAGGGCATTCTGGGCTCCCAAGGACCTAGAGGGTGACCTAGAAGAAGGAGGTGCTGAAGGTGTGGGACTTAGGGGGCCCTAACCCCTCTGCCCCACCAGGAGGGACAAAGGCAGCTGGAGTGATGCCCTCAGATCATCTCAGATGCGAGGGCCAAGCAAGTGCCCCTCTTCTTGGGGCTGAGATCAGATTGCACAGTGCAACCAGGGCTGTGGCAGGGATGGGGGGCGGGGGGAGCACAGGAGAACAGAGTGGTCCCCTGGACCAGCCTGAAGAGGAGATAATTTTCCCAAATGCACCCAAACTCACCGTGCCATCCATAGATTAGAACTGCCCCTGTCCATGTCAACCTTCACCGGAGAAGACAGTTCTCCTCTAGAGCAGAGGGTGGGTGGGAACTGCTGACCTTGTGATTAGCAGCCCAATTTGTTATCTACTACGCCACTGGGATTCCAAGTTAACGAGCTGTTGAGTTAGCTGAGGAAGGGTGTGCTAGCCCTTTAAGGAGTGGTGTGTGTGTGTGTGTGTGTGTGTGTGTGTGTGTGTGTGTCTAGGGGGTGGGTGAGTGATAACCTTCAAGATTTGAGTGGAAAGTTCTCTCACTTTCACTAACTGCATCTGAGGGGCGTCCAGAGTCCTGGAGGCTGCATGGGATCTAATTAACCCATTTCACAGCTGCGAGAACCAAGGTCTAGAACCACGAAGCAAGTTGCCCAGTGGCCCAGGTCAAGTCTTCCTGGCTCCGGTGATGCTCTGCCCCTGGTCTCCAGGAACCTCCAGATGGGTCAGTGTGTCCCCTCCCCCACCCCAGAGCCAGGGCCCCAGAAGGGAGGGCTGTGGTGTGCACAGGGGTGGATCACCCTTGGGGTGGGAGGAGGGAAATTGAACTGAAGCCTTCTGTCTGGGGTGAGAAGGGGGGGAGGGCGGTCGGCGGCACCCCCTGTCAGCATGGCTGGCCACGCGTGTGCCAGTGTGTTTGCCAGGAGGCAGCGGGGAGCTCAGGGAGGCCAGCGGCTGGTAAATAATTGATCAAGACAGCTGATAGTACCTCCCCAGAACTGCCGCCAGCCCCCAGCCCCCTCACCCCAGGCTCCCGCCTCCCTCCAGGCCCAAACCAGCTGGACCAGCTCTCCCGGTACCGCCCGTCAGCAGCCCCCCCACCCCCTCCTGCCGGCCAAGTCACAGCTCCAGGGCACCTTCAGACAAGCGGGTGGTGGGTCCTGAACTCGGAGGCCTGTGCGTGGGCTTTGGGCAGAGATGGCCCTGCAGAGCCAGGCGTGGTCTTCGGCCACACCCATGTAAGTGTCCAGGGTCAGGCGTGGGGGCCTCGGACCTGACCTGGAAGGGCCATGGGGGACGGACATTGGCTCGGCTCTGCGGCCCCGAGCCCCAGCCAGCCTCTCCTGAGGGAACAAGGGAGGGTGGAGGGGAGAGCAGCTACCCAGGGGCCTCTTCAATGTCCCTCTGCTCCTGGGAGGCAGGTTGGAGGTGTGGACCCCCTCCCCGGCCCCTTTCTCTACAGGAAATTTTCCACCCTAGCAGGTTGCAAGCTCAAAGTCCAACCTGGGGGTGGGGCCAGGTCTGGAAGGGGAGGCGGGGTGCCGGGGTCCCTGGCTTCTAGGCTCTGCCTCTTAGAATCACCCCTTCAGTGTGCAGGGTGGGCGGGAAAGTTGGAGACGCTGGCGGCAGTAAGAGCCCCAAAGTGGGAAAGGCAATGGCAAAATCCGACCGATGACCTGTCTGATGAAATGGCCTCTGCTGTCCCATCCCGGGTGACATCAGCCTGGGACCCTGCCCTCCCACAGGTAGACGCTACAGTGGTGGCAGCACGTGGGGTGCTTCAGGACATTGTAGTGTCTCACACCTGGGGGCCTTTAAAAAAAAGAGTGTGGAGGGGCTCTAGGGGCTTGTAAAGATTCTGGGGAAGAGGCTCCCCCAGGGACCCCAATTCATTTTCTCACCCTTCTGGGTCCCCCATTGCATTATTTACCAACTACAAACCTGGTTGCCTAGCAATGGGAACCCGATCCCCCCCAGCAAGGAAGAGGCAGAGAGATTACATCTTGGGGGTAGGATCTCGCAGGGGGGCCCTCACTTCTACCCCAGGGACAAACCTATAAACAGGGTGTGCTATGGGGGTGGAGAGGGCTTGAGGTGGGAGACTCCGCAAATATGACTTCTGCTGAAATCCTGGCTGTCAGGCAAAGTGGGGCTCCTAGCCGATCCCCTGCCCCCCCACCCCCACTGTCTGTGAGTAGTTTGAATGTGAATCTGCGAGCCTCTTGGCCCAATGATCGCTTCTCAGAACCTCAGTTCTCCCCCTCCGTAAAATGGGGGCAGGAAAACCACTCCCTCAAGGCTTGTTGGGAGGATGAGTAGTTATTCCACATGAAGCACAGACTGGGTGCCTGGCACGTGGTACCCACCCACTGAAGAGTTGGCTGATTTATTCTTGGCTGGGAATGTCTACTTAGCAATCACTCAGCCACAGCGGGGCACGATCTGGCCAAGGCCAGGAGGTGGCTGAGGCTGTGGGAGCGGAAGTGTGGTTGGGCCACTTAGAGCAATGTATAGACAGGGTGTGCTAAATAAGTGCTCCTGGGGGCTGGCTGCCCAGCGGGTACGGGAAAGGTCAGCGGCTGGAAGCCAGCCGTCGTTCCGAGAGCGATGTGGCAGCCTGACCGGTTAAAGATGAGGCAGCTCTGCTCTGTCCTGCAGGGTCACTATGAGCCGTGGTAGACTCTCTGACTATGGATTTGGCTTAAATAAGCGCTTGGTGTGGCCAGGGAAGATCTGGGACTCCCGAAGGAGTTCGGCCAATGGATTGATGCTCCCTTAACAGGCTCTTGTTCACATTACAAAGCTGTGACATCAGGAAGGAGGCCTGGTTGCATAGCGGGTTACCCGGCGGGCTGCTGCCCGCCAGGTCAGCAGTTGAAAGCCTCTAGCCGCTCCCAGGGACAAGGAGACTTTCTGTTCCTGTTACCCACAGGGGATAGCTGTATGTTGCCCTGTAGGGCCACTATCAGTCAGAACGGACTCAGTGACAGGGAGCTGCCATTCGGTGCTCATGGGGTCCTGGTAGGAGAGTGGGTTAAGGGCTGGGCTGCTAACCACAACGCTGGAGGTTCAAACCTCCCTATGGGAGAAGACAGAGGCTGTCTGCTCCTGGATCACAGCATTGGAAGCCCTAAAGAGCCGTCCTGCCCTGCCCTGCAGGCTTGCAGTGGGTTTGGTTTGGGGATGGAATTGCTGCTATGGCCAGCCTTGGGCTTCCAGGGCAGCAGAGGAGGAGTTGGGGCCAGGGGCTCCAGTAGGGTTCTAGGAGGGGCAAGGAGAGAGGAAGGTTAACTCTCAGGTTAACCTTCAACAGCGGATTCCCCCTCCCCTCCCCCAGCTCAGAGTCCAGACCGAGGCAGTGTGACCCAGTGACCCTTGCTCCCAGCCAGGAGGATTGGCAACTAGAGTTCTCATGGCAATGGCTTGTGTCCAGGGCAAGATGGGCACTTCTCTCTCCCAGACTTCCTTATGCCTCAGCACCCAAGGGCTCCTGGGCAGGGAGAAAGAGGAGGCCTTCGACGCCTGTCAGATTTGCTGCCTTGCCTGCCCTACACTGGGTGGCCGTGAATCTACTTGGTGGCAGTGGGGTAGGGGCCAAGCAACCTCCCAAGAGGGGGCAAAAGGCAAGGGACTGAGAACATGTTAGGGGCCTTGCAGGACTGGAGAGGGCCTGTAGGAGAGGCCGGGAAGGGTCCTCGCATTAATAAGCATGGCTAATGATGTGCATAATGAAAATTATTAATAACAAACCACACTACTCCTTTGAGGACTATGTCCTAAGCTGTTCCCCTATTTGGATAGGTCCTTACAAGAGCCTTCCAAGGTTTGGCTCAGTGTGTGTGTGTGTGTGGGGTGGGGTGGGGGGGTTAGAACTAGAAAGGGCTTTCAACCAAACTCATGCTGACTCACAGTGACCCACTGTGGGTTTCGGGCACTATAACTGTTCATAGGAGTTGAAAGGACTGGGCTTCAAACTGCGCACAGTAGGGATCATAGCCCAACTCATAACCACTACACCACCAGGGCTCTTAGAAAGGGCTTTAGCTCAGCCTTTAAGGAGACCCTCGCCCACTGCCCAACTCCTCCAGGTACAGAGGGTGCAACAGGTAAAGTGCCCGGATTTGGTCCATTTTTCTGCAGCTCGGGGATCTTGGTGGTGGGAGTCAGGGCGGGGGGCTTTCAAGGGGTGGCCTTGCTGAGGGGTGGAAGCTCGGGACCACTGCCCACTTCAGCAGCCCCCCTGCCTGCTCCCCACAGGCCCATGGCTGAGAGCTCCCTCTATCGGCAGCGGCTAGAGGTCATCACTGTAAGTGAATCCCTCCAGGGCACATGCCCACGCCCTAGGCATCCTAACCTTGTCCACCCCTCCCCTCACCTCCCCATTCCCCGGAGCAGTGCCCTCTGTCCCCAACCTGCTGGGGCACCCAACCTCTCCTGACTTTTCCACCTGAGTGGTGGGGCTCCCAGAACATGCACCGCCCACCTCCTGCCGTCTTCCCAACCCTCCTCTGCACCTTTGTGGACTTTTCTCACTGACCCTCTCTGGTCCTTCAAGTCCTCTCCCTCTTTTTTCCGCCCCTCTAACCTT